TTTAGTTGTTTTTGGCAGAACTATCAGGGGAGAAGTGTGATTTAAAACTACTTGGCTGTTGAATTCTGGCTCAACCACTGCTGTAAAATTTTCCTGTGTGGTGTACCCTGCAGGCTTTGATGGTCAGATATTAAATGGCTCAAGCTTGGGGTAGAGTTCAGTTGTTGTTGAGTCCCATGTAAAGGGAAAAGCAGCTTTTGCATTTGTGAAGTTATTGTCTGCCTGCTCCTGTCTTGGGGAGTGAACACTTAACCCAGATCCTTGCACTCAATTAGCAGGTCAGATTATTTTTTGCACTGATCTGTGAATGCTTGGGAATGTCAGAGAGTTCAGATTTTTGTCATTTCTCAAGAGAACTTAACTCAGATGCACTTGTTAGGGGGAACAGTAGTAGGCAGCTTGGGGACCTTGGAGGCTGTTGGATACACAAGCTGATTTGATAAGAGATACTCCTCTTCTGACCCTTCCCCCTCCCTTGGTACTCTGCAGTGATGCTGTTAACCTTTTCAGGTGAAGACTCAGATTGCCAATGTGCTTCTCTGCCCCAAGACAGGGCAATAATAAAATGACTTATGAATGTGTGTGTTTTACTGCCTAGTGCAGCATGTAGGAGCATTTAAATAACTGAATTTTAATGAGCCAATGGTTTCAGAGTGGGGAGGGGGGGAGTCCAGTTTTCAGCTGTCTTTAGTGGGTCTTTTTACAAAATCAAAGAGCTCTTTTGGGTCCTCAAAAAAGGTAAACCCCATCTCCCTCGGGATATACCACCTAAAGACCTCTGCTGGAATATTCCTTTTTACAGGGATTTAGTTTTTATGCCTATTTGTGTGCAGTAGTTAAAGGAAAAAATACCAGGCCCAGCCACAGAACTCTGGGAGCTATTTCCCTGACTGTGCTGTTAATTTAATAGCTTTGTTGCAACTGACAGGTAGAAAAGGGCTGTTTTTCTCTGGCACAGTAGCCGATTAAGGAGAGTGTGACCTGACTGACTCAGAAGTGAAATTTGCCAGAGCCATTTAGACTGCAGTCTAATTAACTTACAGTTGTGCTGGCAAAGCAAAGGCCTCCCTTAGTAATGACTGAATCAGCGAAGAAACCAGGAATTAAAATGAAACTTCATCTGGGAGGATGCAGTTGATTGCTCCCTGCAGGTGGCCAAATGATTCCCAAGCCTGACAAGCATTCTGCTGTTTGCACTCAGATGAGTGCATTGGGAAGGTGGTGGTGGGGTGGGAGGTGAGGGGATGGTCATGTGGGTAAAGTACAAAACTGCTAGAAAACAGCTTTGCCATTGACTTGGCTTGGGACATTGGCCAAGTTCCTTAGGTTGAGCTTTGCAAAGCTGACTGGGGCATTGCCCCACTGCAGCTGCCATTAGCATGAGAATATGCAGTGCATCTAAATCCCCCTGGCAGGTCTGGAGAAACTCAGCCTGGCCTGCTCTCCTGCTTTGGTATTCCCCTCAGTAAAACAGGGAGCATCCCTGCCTCACCGGAGTACCCTTCAACGGTCGTTGTTAGTTTGGAAGTCAAGTGGAATCCTTGAGGGGATTCCAGCAGGAGCAAGCTGTGATGTGACTAGATTGTCCAGCTTGCCCTGTGTTATCTAGAGTGCACTTAAGCAATTTTGATGATACAGCAATGATTTATTCAACAGGCTTTGAAGGACTAAATTGTTATCCTCTTATCTGTGTTCTTCTTTCCCTGCCCCACTCCCGCCAAACATTTCCTCTTATGAATATTAGCAGAGTCTTGCTTACCATAATTCCCCCATAGATACAGGAACTCTCCAGCAGTTCCCCTGTAATGTTTTTGTTTTTTGCCAGGTCAAGCTGGGAACTTCCTGACTTGCGAGAAGGGAGAGTAAAAGCCATCAGTGACTCAGATGGGGTGAGTTACCCCTGGTATGGGAACACCACAGAAACAGTGACCTTGGTTGGGCCCACTAACAAGATCTCCAGATTTTCGGTCAGTATGAATGACAATTTTTACCCCAGCGTGACGTGGGCTGTCCCGGTGAGTGACAGCAATGTGCCACTGCTGACCAGAATTAAGAGGGATCAGAGCTTTACCACGTGGCTAGTGGCAATGAACACCACCACCAAGGAAAAAATCATCCTGCAGACTATAAAATGGAGGATGCGAGTGGACATTGAGGTTGATCCCATGCAACTCCTGGGGCAGCGAGCCCGGCTTGTGGGCAGGACTCAGCAGGAGCAGCCCAGGATCCTGAGCAGAATGGAACCCATCCCGCCAAATGCACTAGTGAAACCCAATGCCAACGATGCCCAAGTCCTCATGTGGCGACCCAAGAGAGGCCAGCCTATTGTCGTAATACCTCCAAAGTAGAAGGTTACTGGGGGGGTGGGGGGGTGGGGGAAAGTGTGGGTGTGTGCATTTGAAAACTACAATGCTGTCAGTACGGTGCAAATGAACTGGAATTCTGAGCCAAAGCAGACCTCTTGGGTTCATCTGCCTTTGCAGTTGTGAATGGAAATAGGGCTTCTCTGTATTCAGAGTGGAAGTGTTACCTGTTATGGCCAGTGCTGTGTCACAGAAGAGGACTCACTGAGCTGGTGGACTTGCAATGAAGTACCTATCTCTTTTTGTTCTTCTAGGGTATTTTGGCTGGAAAAGAAGCTTTCTTACCAGAACAATTCATATTCTCTTGCAGTAAAATGCAAGGAGCAAGAATATGATCAAACAGTGCCTGTGGCAAATGCTGCTTCCCAACCAATTTAGATGTAGAAATGGAGACCATGCCTACCAATGGTTTGTGGTTTTCTAATACAGTCCGACTGTATGAGCTGACAGGAGGGTAAGGGTGGGGGGTGGGGAGGGTGTATTTCCACAGTGTTTATACCTATGCATTTTTGATTGATAATCAGTGATCACCAGGCTCATTGGAACTAAAAGAATGTTTACAAGGGTGGGGATCAGAGGGGAAGAATAACGACCCACGCCATGTGTTCCTCTTAGCTACAGTAAGAGACAGGGAACTGTCCCAGGTGCTGAACTGAAGTACAGTGTAAACTAGTCATAGAGTCATAGAGAAGCAGGGCTGGAAGGGACCTCCAGAGGTCATCTAATCCAACCTTCTGCCTGTGGCAGGAGCATCCCTATCCAAACCATCCCATGCAACCATAATCTAAACTCTACATAAAATTACTGTCAACCCTGATACAACATAGAGCTAGCACCCTAACCTGCCACAAGTAAAGAAGGGGAAGCATGGCAGCCAGTGTCCTGCTTCTGTAAAATGTTGAATTCACTACCCTGTAGATCAGAACTGTCCATCTGACTGCCTGTGGCAAGTTATGATGCTTGGGCTTCTGCCCAGCCGTTGCTCCCCTGTTGCTCTGGCTGTAACAGAAGCTGCAGTCTTTAAGCTCCCCCTCAGGGGGTATGTATGCACAGAGCAGTTTTGGTGGGGGCATCTACATAGGTGCAGTGGTGGGTTGCCCAAGTGGTGTGTGGCCCAGAGACCAGTGTCTAACTTTGCTGCTGCCCCTACTGATGCAGCCTTAGGGGCATGTGGCTCCTGGGTGCTTAAAATTTGGACAGCTCTGCTCTAGATCTCTAGCACACAACAGATTACATACATTTTTACCAGCTTTGTTTTCTCATTCATAAATCCCATCAGGAGGGTGGGAATCAATATCCTCTAGTTGTGTTGACCAACTGCAACTTCAGTGGTCAATTTGCTGTACCACCTCCTCACCTAGTCCTATAGCCACTGGTGGCACAGCATCTTTACAGCAATCCATGATTAGCATAGCACTAGGGTGGCGATCTCAGCTGTACACTGTAAGGAGAACTGATTTAGCTGCTCCACAAGGTCCTTATCCTTTCTCAGCTCTCTGCTCATCCAGCAGCTCAATAGTCCAGAATAAGCTGGTTTCCACAATTTATTGGTTCTGGCCTCTCTATGAAGACTGCCTTCCTACTTGAGTGGTGGTCTCTGTCATGATAAATACCTGCCCTCACAGGAACTGAACTAAAAGCACCAGCATGTTTTTTATGGGCTACTTAATACAGTAGCTATTCAGCTGGCCTGCCTGAATATTAAGGGCTAGTTCTCATGAGCTGTGCTAGGCAAAATACAACAGAATGAAAGCTTGCCCCTCTCTCTGGGCCTAGATTCCTGTACAGAGACAAGAGGCAGAGATTACATAGAAGTGGCCATGCAGGGTGATTTCATGAGGCACGGTTGACTGACTCTGTGGCTGCTTTGTTCTGGTTGCTAGGCAGGGGGAGGCTATAACAGGGCCAGTTTCTGGCCTTCAGAAGAAAACATTTCAATTCCATTATCAGGTCTCTGTGACATCAGGACTTCTGGTCCAACACGTACTTCCTAAGAGTAACTGAAACTAAAAGGGATCACTGGAGAGCATTCCCTTCTGAAGAGATGAACACTCAGCTGGTATCAAAGAAAATGCAGAATGCATAGCAG